GGAATACATTACACCACGGAGGGAAAATGATGCCGTGCTAACGCGTGGATACTCAAAATTCATTGCCACGGTTGGTGAAATGGTGTAGTGTAACCAGAATCCGCAGTTGGCGAGAGATTACTGTAATGTATTTGAAAAGGTTTCCCTCACAACAGATCATCATTTCCTGTGATGCAAGGGTTAACCCCACCCATTGTGCCTGATGAGTTTGTCCTTCATCAATGGGTACTTAGTATGGGAAATCAAAGTACCCAGAGAAAATCTGTGGTTTTGTAGTCAGACTGGAAAACACCCATCACACAGTAACACTTAGTACTGCTTGTGTGGACTATTAAAAAAAAAGAAAGAAACTATATACTACAGTACTGTACAGTAAGAAAGGGCCAAATCATAGCAGGCAAAATGAGTGAAATTATGTAAGGCAAGTAGGGAACAAAGTACAGCGACTCCCTGACTTTCGACTTACAACCACTCGGACATACGACCGCCTCAGTCGTACCAAAATGTTGTCAAATTACGTATTTTCGAGTCCCAACGTCAGTGATTACGCTGTGTACTGACAAAATTTTCGTTTGTAATTCACTTTAAAATGGCTGGCAAGCTTAAAAGTGAGTTTTTTGGTACTGAGAAGAAAAAGAGACCCATTTTAGATTTTCTATGTATTATTTCAGCATTTTCGACTTACGACTTGGATTTGGGTTTCTAACTCCGTCGTAAGTCGGGGAACAGCTGTAGTTTAAATTTTATCTTAGAATTACTGAAAAGCTGTTCCAATTTGGTGAGCATAAACACAACAGAGGGTGAATTTTTTGTAGTTGCATTTTCTTTTCCCAGTTACTTACTAAATATAGTATACTGTATACAAATGTAGGTGATATTCTTATTACAAACACTAATTTCCATTTTGAAAATAAAGTTATCCCAAATATCTGCCAGGATACTAAACTTGTGGAACTCATCATGGATGCTAAGAAGCCTTACCTAGGTATGGCAACTGAGTAGCGAGTCCTCAACTTATTGAGTAAAAATTTCTTCCTGTAACATTTTGGTATCACATCTCTGACCTCATACAAGAATAAAAAAAAGAAACAAAAGAGGGGGGGTTATTGATATAGCATGTTGTTGACTCCAACAAATTTTTCTTAATTAATAGTATAAAGAATCTCAACAGGATCATCTCTACTAAACGGATGCAGGAACATAACCTTATGTGGTCTCCACTTTAGTTACAATTTAAAAATAATGTTACACAGGATGTGATGTTACTCCAGGATGAAACATTCAAAGGCATAATACTATACTGCAATAGTGACCTGTCTCTGGATACTCTTGGGTAGTACAAACTTGTTAGAATGAAAACAGCTCTTATGAGTTATGACAGATCACTTAGAGAGGGTAAAGGTGATGCACTTGAATGCAGGAACTTCAGAGGCCTGAAGCTGCTAGATCAGGTTATGAAAGTTGTTGAAAGTGATCAAGAAATTGATAAGGGAACAGTGGACATAGATAAAATGCAGTTTGGGTTTATCCCAGGTAAGGGGACTACAGGGGCAATAGTTATGACCAGGCAACTACTGTACAAGAGAAATATCTAAGGAAAAAGAAAATTATACGAAATATACAGTATGTAATCTTAGAGAAGGCAATTGACAGGAGTCAAGAGTATCTTGTTCAAGTGGTTATGGCATTGTATAAGGGCTCAAAAACCTCTTTGTGAGAGTAAATGTGGAGGAAAGTGAGGAATTTGAAAGTGGGAGTTTATTTACCACGGTGTAGGAGGCAATGTCATGGGACTTTAGGACTGGCCTGTTATAGGATGTATGCTGATTACTTATTGCTGATAGCAGATAGTATTGAAGAGGCAGTGGAAAATTTTAAGAAATGGAAGGATGAAGTACAGGCAAAGGGCCTGAGACTGAATGTGGCAAAAACAAAAGTACTGTATTGATTACTGGTTTGGGAGAGGGACCCATGGTGGAAAGTGGTTATGTGCTGTCTGTAAATAGAAGTTTAGGGAGTTGCTGCCTTTATTAATGGCAAGAGGATCCTCACTTCGAATGAAAGGAAGAATGTATGTGGCTAATGTGAGAAGTGTGATGTTATGTGGCAGTAAAATATGGACAGTTAAAAGAGGATACAAGTGGATTTCAGCAAGCTGAAATGAGAATGGTGAAGTTGATGTACAATTTGACATGAAGATGGGAGGCCCTGTTCAGAGCCAAGAAGGTGACTGAGTACTAAGAGTACTGTATTGGTGAAGTCCTGCGTGGAGGCAGGTTCAGATGGTTTGGGCATGTGGAGAGAATGGTTGAGACAAATTGGGTCAAGATGAGCATGAGCCCAAATGTGAAGGGAAGAAAAGCTAGCGGTAGGTCAAGAATCACATCGGTAGAGCTGCAAACATGGAAGGTGCCTGTAAAATGATGATGACTTACATACTGTAGGAAATGAAAAAAAAAAAAAAATAAATAAATAAATAAAATGCATCCTATGATTCTGTACTGTAGTACAGTAGTTCATTGAGACAACCCCCAAAATGAAAAATATTATATACGGTATGCCAAAAATTATTAGACACTAACCCCGTCAAAAATGAATACAAAATACATTTTGGGTACAGTGAGTTCTGCTATAACGCGTTTTGACAATACGAATTGGCTCTAACGCGATTTATGAATAGAGGAACGATATTTGTATAATGCGAACGCTTGTTTGCTGTAATGCGATTTTTGCTTACTATTTCTCCAATTTTGTGGTATTAACTGTGAATATGGTAAAGAAGATCTCCAAGAAGCGTTCTGTGAATTGCATTCCCGGTGATGATCGTAAAAGAAAGGCTATAACACTTGGAGAAGCTCGATGTTATCAACCTCAAAATCACCCTTTTCCCCCATCAAGTTATATTCATATTTCTTCACATTAAAGTGTTACATTTACTGTATGATTTCATTATTAGATATGAATGTAACATTTATTTAGACTGTGCTAACCTTTGTGTTAGGCTAACTACTAAAAATTTTTCGATTTCGAGTAGTAATCTGCACCTAACCGTATTTTCTCCATAAGCCCTGTTATTTCTATTACGCGAATTTCTATAACACGATGTTTTACAAGAACACAACTATCACGTTATAGCAGAACTGACTGTACCCATTTCCTTCATCCATTAAAATTGTGGAAGTACAGTACCGGTATATCTAATTAATATTTTGAGACTGCATTTTTTTTCAATAAAAAGTGTTACTTAATGAAAACCATGAATTTATTCACATACGTACTTTCAGTATCAGTGGCCTTCTTCCCATAAAATTTTAGAAAATTCTTTTCCCACTAGTATTTGAGAACATCATCTTAGAAATTTTAACTGCTTATATTCCTCATAACACAGAAAGAATAAGAAATTGGCCCAAACATCAAAATTAATCAAAAATTTTTTCATGTGCACCCTTCAGGTAACAATACCTGTTCAGTGCTTGTCTTCATTTCTGCAAAAAAGTTTAAATTACTGAAGTGAGCATCACCACCTTCCCCATAAACTATCTAATCTGTAAACTCACAGCTTTCATTTCAGATAAGATTACACATTATAAAACCCTATTGTCAATAAATTATGGCCGTAAATGTATTTCAATAAACAAAATATTTAATAAGACACGAGTACAAACCTTTGACTGTGTTAGTCTTTTGGCAATAGTTTTCCTCATGTTGGTTACCTCTATATCATCATAGCCATCTTCAGATACACCAATGATTGGTGGTGAGATAGGAGCACGTGGTGGTGCAGGAGTTGCAGCAGCAGGCTTTGGAGTCTCAGGTGGAGGAACTGGTGGGTATACAGCAGATATACTGATACTTAAAGTTGGTTTATGTAAAACTCTATCTACATAGATTAAATATTAATGTATACTGCATGTCACATCTAATCCCTTGTGCTCCCTCTGTGCTGAATAAAATCGTCTGGCATTAGCCGATACTACAGGCAATTTCTGATTTTTGTTGTGTCAAACAACATCGTTTCGAGATAAAGCTGTTTAATAATTTTGGAACAATATTTATTATAAGTCGCTGAAATCTGATGGTGTCATTTTGAATCTCGTGCGTGCCAGTACTGTAGGGCAGTGTGGAAGTACCATCACCTGCCCACCTCACTCACATGTTCCCAGCCTGCCAAAATTCAGTCTCGTTCTGCCTTGCTGGCAACCACTAGTGCTGCTCCGTGCATTATTTTTTAGCCCAGCATTCAAGAAACTCATCACCATACCTGGAAAACATGCTGCAAGCAATCCTGCTGGTACTCATGCCAAGAAATCTCATCTTTCCATGAGTTTAGACATGAAAACTGATGTGAATCAGCATATGGAGCAAGGAAAGTGCGCAGTGGATGTTGGTTGTGCTTTAAATTTACCTCCTACAGTGAAAACTAAAAGTTTCTGCCCAGAATATAACTCGAGGTAGTTTTTTTACATCAGTCATGAACACCAAAACCCCATCAGTTTTTCTCAGCTGAACCTTAAACATCCAAAGCATCAGCTTCATCAGGTAAGTCAGTCAGTGTCATTCATTAGTTTTCATTATCTTTTGTACATGAAGAAAAAATTAGTCTGTGTATGGACCTGTGTCCTGAGTGGCAGAGAAGTGTCAGGACCTCCTGACTGAATTACTCTGAATAGTTAAACTGTACTTCAGGATTTGTCAATAAATTTGCTAAACTAAAAAAAAAAGTCACTACTATAATTTTCATAATCATACTGTACATGAAACTAAAAAAAAGTCAATGCCATTCGCAATGTCATTCGTATAGTTTTCATTATGTTTAAGTACAGGAGATGAAAAGGCTGTGTCAATAATGTTATTTTCATGTTTTTCATTCAGGAAGTGTGGAGGCTGGGGAGGAGAGTGATGTGCCTTTGGACATCCTTGGCTAGTTGAAGTTCGAATGTTTATTTTAATTATTATAGTGACGCTTAGTAACACTCATGCACCATGACACCATCCTGAGTCAATAATGATCTCGTCCAAATGGCAGACACCTGCTGGGATGGGGACATAATAAATACATGTCAGTGTTCACAAGCTTACCTTGGCCATAGCTACATAGGTGAGCTGAAAAGAGGATGGGCATCCCCCCCCCCCCACCCCCTGCCTTTTTTTCCATTCCCAGAACTGTCTTTCTATAGCAGGGGTTCTCAACCAGGGGGGGAATTTCCCCCCCTCAGGTTTCCAGGGGGGGGAAAACTGATACTAATATGGAAAAATAAAGGATTTTCAGTAATATATGCATATTATTTGGAATGCACTTTTTGAGGCAGACAATCTTGGAAAGGAGGGGGGAATGACATTCTGGCATATGGTGATAGGGGTGCATGGGGCAAACAAGGTTGAGTACCACTGTTCTATAGGATGTTATAGGGAACCAGTCTAGTAAATAAATTTTGTTTACCTATTATGCAGTAGGCAGCTACCAAACAGGGAGGTACTACTGCCTGGGAAGATATTGGAAGCATAATGTGTTGTCTAATGGTAGACCCTGCTGCCATATGGCACCACGAAAATTGTGATCAAGTCCCAGGTTGCTGATCCGTCTTTCTGCCACATTTACACACAATTGTAGGGTCTCAATTGTTTCTCTTACATAACAACACAACATACATACAGTATAGCATTTCTCACTATTGATTTTTTTTCATTCTTGTATTTCTTTGTATTTATTATTATTATTGTTATTATTATTATTATTATTATTATTATTATTATTATTATTATTATTATTATTACAGTGTTTTCATTATTATTATTATCATTAATATTTTATTTTACTTTTTATTATAAATTTTATTTACTATGACTTATTATTATTATTATTACATTTTCGCACCCCGGGCCCCGATGTGGTCAGTGACCTGTGCCCGGGTGGGCTAATCCCCGTAAAAAAAATATTTATATACAGTGGAGTCTGCATTTATGGGGTCAATTGAACCCGTGGAGACCCGCGTAAAACGAGAAACGCGTAAATGAAATAACAGAACATAAGGGATTAATTGAAATAGAGACTGGGCCGACCCCCAAACTCCACTTTTTCCGACACAATACCTACGTTGTAGTAAAAATATCTTAATTTTATGATGGTATGCACATACAATTAATATTTAAGAGAAATACAGTCGCCGTTTAATGTCCATTCAAATAATGGACTCAACTCCCCCCTCCCTTTTCCCACGCTCGCTGGCTCCTCCCTCTCTGAGAAATGTTTGGGTGAAAACAGTAGGCTTACATTTTTAGTAATAAATAATACCTCAGACTAAATTTAGGATAATATAATTGACATTGCTGGATTCCTTGCAAGACCAGGAATATTTTGAATATAAACATCATATATTTTGCACAAAAGATAAAATTTTTGTTCTTTCTAATTAAAATTCTTACATTAGATTTAAAATTTGTATGTCTAATGCAAATTTTATGATGTTTATATTTAAAATAATCACAATCTTATAAGAATTCCAGCAATGTAAATTATGTTCTGGCCGGGTAATTTGTATGAATTTTATGAGCTAAAACAAATATCTTCAGTAAATACAGTAAACAAATTATACTTCACCTGCATAGATGACCAAATTTACCAAGTAATTAAAGCTTTTCATTCTGGCAACGCACCGCGTAAATGACCAAATGCGTAAGCAAAAGCCGCGTAAATGCAGACTCCACTGTACAGTATATATTTTTCACAATATTCAAGAACAGGTAATAAAATATTGTATCACCAAGACAAAAAATTATAATCTAACCTGCTGGTAATGGTTTTAACTGTAGATTTTTTTCTTTGATAGCTTGTAAAACATCCCCTTTCAGAAGTCTACCATGTGGACCTCCAGCAGGTACTTGATCAGCTGAGAGTCCATACCGCTCCAGCAAAAGGCGAACTGAAGGCCCATAATTGCTGTAAAATATTATAGTTTACAAAATATTGAAATAACAGTACTTTCATACAACAAGAATTAGAAAAGATAAATAATTACTATGACATTAAAAGTGAAATACACACAAGATTTCATTTACAAAAAAATTTGAGAAGGGAAGAAATAATAAATCTCCTTTAAAACAACATCCAAGTGGATCTAAACCACGCCTGCAAACTGTTACCATGGTTAGGTAAATAGTGAACGTGTGATGTTACTGTATATTAATGAAGTCACAGCTAGACTATTGCTTGTCACCTTCTTTAACCCACCTACCTAAAAAACCACAATTTTCTTCCACATGGAAAGCTATTGCCATGGAAATACAGCTATTATATAGTATATACTGTAGTAGTAGGGTGTGTCATACGGAGGCGAATTTTTTTTTTTTGAGTTTGAAAAATCGGCCCATGGTATTAATGATGTAGTTCTATGTGCAGAATCATGTGATATCTTCAGATTTGAAAAGTTTTCATTTTTTGCTAGGTAAATTTTAACTTGAAATCTTATGAAAATTCAGTATTCCCACCCTTTTACCAACACCACTAAATAGCTTATTTAAAGTAAAGTAAATGTATCAGGTTATTTATTAGGATGAAAATGATCCAGAATAGTGAAACGAATGATCTTGACACACTTATTAAATTTAATATTCCTTTAGAAAACAAAATCATCAAATACAAAACCGGTTTTACTACTACGACCCGGTGATGCTGCACACCATAGAGAACATGCCTTTCTTGCTTCTGTTTCTACTCATCACCTCCCTGCTGACCACCTGAGCTCGGATGTAGCCTTCCCTCCTCTCCTGGCTGTACACGTGACTGCTGGCCTCGCTCACTTGCTGTACACAACGCTCTACAGTATACTCTGGGTGTGCGAGGGCCAGGCAGGGACATGCATGGGGTTGTCCAGGAAAGCTCTGACTTAAACATTGGTGAGGCTGCAGGTAAGAGGGGGCTCACTGCCAGCCTGGATGTTATCCAGATCTATGAGATCAGTGAGGGTCTTGGCACCTAGATTGACTTCAGGAGTCTTCCTGACCCTGGAAGAATCGTCACCAACTGATTCGTCATGCCCAGATCCTCTCATAAGTCTCATATCCAAGATCTTTTTGACTGCCACTCTTCTCTCCTCCTCATCCTTACTGCAGAGCATTGTCTGCAGAACTGCCTCGGGATGAGCATGCCAGGAAGATCTCCTCACAGTCTGCTCCACACAACCTTCCTTGGCTGACTCCTCAGGAGCTCAAGCTGGAAGAGAACATGCCTCGGACCTTCGGAGAGCGATATTTCGACCTTGAGTGTTGAACCAATTTGGCAAGTAGACACTCACGATGAATTGGACAATAATAAGTCTCGGGTTACAATGAAGCTGGTTCCCTTTCAGTTTAGCGATGGCGGCCCAAATTCTTCACAGAACCTGAGAGCCGTTGTGAGCCACCTAGAATGTGAGACTGGACCTATCTGCAGGTAACCAAGTCTATCAGGCATGACCCCAGTTTTGATGGCACTGCAAATCATGTAACCATAGTACTGGTCAGTACTCAGGTCGTCAATGACAGTATGTGCAAAGCTCAACGAGTGGAGGGCCAACTGTGATTTTTTCAAAGCTCGGATTTATTTCTAACTCAGTGGCAGAGTCCAGCATCTTGCCAAGAGGACCAGACCATCTGTTGTTTGAAAAAGTCTTGCCATCCAGCTCCTGGATCAGATGTCTGAGTGGCAACTCGTTGGTGTGGAGGTCACAAACAATCCAGACCAGCTTCCTCCCAATATTCCGCTCTATCCACTGTATGACCTCCCCTTGCCACCCTGTGTTCGTGTTGGTGCTGTCCTCCAATGGCCTGCAGGGTCTGGCCTATGTTCCTCTCTCTGGGCCAGTTCACAATGTTATCTGCCACTATCTCAGCTGGTTTCCTGATGTCATCTTTCTCTGGGTGAAATGCCACAAATACTTCCCTCCTGGTTCACTGCAGCAGGAGTAGTGTTCCTCCTTCACCATGGCAGGGAACAACTTGTCAGAATCTCCAACTTTCATGAACACTTTAGTGTCATCCCTTCTCCCATCAAAGAACAAACAATTGATTCCATTTTCTCTTATCCCCTTATCAAACTCCTCTTCTAGGTTACTGACAAGTTTCTCCTGAGCTCTCCTTACTTTGTTATGATCTATCACCAGGTGAACATCATCAGGTGTTGTCAAACCACCGTCAATCCAGGCAGCTGTTGCTATCTCTGCAGTTTCTCTGAGACCAGTGTGGTGTCGCATGCTGGCCAGAGCTATGCTCGGGATATCTTTCCTATTTCGAATCTTATGCCTGGAAGGTTTGGGATCATTATTTTCTGGGTTAGGGACAAAGTCACCATTCTCCTGGTCAGCACTCGGATCAGCCATGGGGAAGTCATTAAACTCTGAATCAGCTTGACTCCAATCATCGGCCTTTTTTACCTCACCCTGGGCCTTCTCAAGTCTCTTTTCCTCGGCAACTCTTCTCCTCTTCTGTCTCTCTGTGGCAGCCTCCTGTCTCTTGGGCTCCGGAATATCTTTGCTAGAAATCATGAGAGCCCTATACTGCCAGTCTTCTCTCTGTGCTTTGACAAATGCCAGTTCGATCATAGGAATCTTCAGTTCACGCTTGCAAATACAGGAGATGTGGGCCTCGGATTTACAGTCACGATCGCATCCAAACTCAGGACAGAGAACAATTGGGCACTTGCAAGTAATTATGTCAAATAACTGGTCCAGTTGCTTGGCAAAGCTGTCCTTAACTGCAAGTTTTCCTCTCCCAAGAGAGATATCTCTTGCCTTTTCCCAACTGGCTAGCAGTCTCTCACTAATCTTCTTCTGACTTGTTATGACTGGAGGCTTGAACTGAGCATTAGCCAGAGTGTACTGTGCCAAGACAGCTTTGGTCATATCACTGGCAATGTCTTTGTTTGTGTAAGTTCTTTGGTTCTTTTCACTGATTTGCCTGATTAAAACACCGTATCTCAAAGCATCTCTCAATGTAGGCAACTCCGACTTCAGGAGCTCTCTCCCAGACCCAAGATAGTGACTGAGATGGCTGGATTTTTGGTTCCTCGTCTTGACACAAGCAGCCATAAATATTATCAACTTATAAATGCATCAGAATCTGAAACAGAAAAAAATATTGTTAGTTGGGTTGTTAAAGAATGAAGTCAGAAAGCAATGTTCACTATTTAATTGTAATGCACTAATGCAGCTGTACGTTAGATTTTCGATAAATTTCACGCTAAAATTTACCTAGCAAAAGGTTGCAAAATATTGAAACTGAAATTATTTTCTGTTTATATACACTAAAATCTACCAAAAAAGTGATGGGCCATTAGTTTTAGCTGATCTTCCCTCCTATGACACACCCTACTGTAGTAGGGCATAATTTTTATGTACAGTACTGTACTGTATCACTCAATTATTTTATAAACTGCAGGAAAAGTCAAGCCAAGAGGTTGTCTTTTATGATCCATCAGTGACAGAAAGCAAAGGCGGATATCGCTTAATCTGGACAAAATTATTTAAATAAAAATAATTCGGAAATTAAAATAATTAAAATGAAGTAGTAAAAATTTGTCTTCAGATGACATGTCTACAAATTTAAAGGGACGAAGGCATCCGCACGTGTGACACAGGTGCCTGAGAGTTATCAATTGTTGTTTTGGGGAATATTATTTCATTCACTCTAGTAAAGATAGTGTATCTTATTATATTATCATAGGTAAATGCATGGTTTATTTAATTTGTTTATCACTGTGCCCATCACTGTTTTCAAATTCGACTACAAGATATGTATTTCTCTCGTACGCCTGGCAATGGGAGCGAGTGAGTGACACTAGTTAAAGCGTCGTCTGCAGTTGCATCTCTCCTTCCTCCCTGCCATATTTCACTGGATTTACTGTTATTATTAGTGTTTACTGATATAATAGTGTTTAATAGTGATTAATCATGGCATTTGTATGATATATATGGACACAAAGTAGTACCTTCAGCTGTATATTATTATATTACTCTTATATTACATAGAATTAATACATGTTCTGCAGTACTTTACTATACATAATTAATAAGAGTAATATAAGAGTAATATAATAATATACAGCTGAAGGTACTATTTTGTGTCCATATATATCATACAGCATTGTAGCCAGGTTAAAATTGTCACTGGAACCACCAGGCTACTAGGCCAAGTTGTGGTGTTATGGTTGTTTTTCAACTCGTATTTTTGGGATAGATATACCGTACGTAACTTTCTTCAATTATTTTTACTCTGTTACAAGCACACATTTGTGAAAAAGTAAAAGAAATAATTGTCCTAGGGGAAAACACAAAGGGAATATACATTTCTTTGCACACGAGTTAGCCTGCTGAGTGAGGGATGGGAAGACGGTCGTGGGGGGGGGGGGCATTGCTAGGGAATTGGCGTGCCAGCTGATGTTCGTTACTGTGGTGAAACGGAGTAATCTGCAAATGGCAGCTGTGTTGAACTTTCATTTGGCTCTTATTTACTGATTTGGCGATACAGTATTTTTTGTTGGTATTACAGTATATATATATTTTTTTTTTATTTCTCACATTTCCTGTTACTGTATACAGTACAGTACTGTATATTATTTTAAGAAAACTATGACTACAGGTGAAAAACACACACAAGTTTTTTCTAAATACTCCTTTCCGTAAAATATGGCACAGTACGTACTGTATTTTTGGTGTTTTTATGTCATTATTTATCGTTTTTATACATTTAGTGCATTCACCGTAGGCTGAAGTAGCATTCATATTTTTTGCATTATTATTGAAAAATTAAACCATGACCATGGGCCCTAGGAAAGTGTTTGGTATCCATAAGGGTGACGAGAAGCTTAAGCCAAAGACCTTATCAGTGAACTAAAAGTACGTGTACAGTACTTTACAGCATGTACTGCACACTCATTTTTAAAATTAATTTTGATTAAAAAACATGTACAGCATTTTTTTTTTATAAAACTTGAATACTTTGGTGGTGTACTCATTTATTGTTTAAAATGGAGGTCTTTTTGGAAAAATTTGCTCTAGGGTGGACGACCTCTTATCCGGACACCCCTTCCCCTCAATTAGTCCGCCTTAGTGAGGTTTTACTGTACTATGTGGTTTATTGGTTTTTTTTTTTAATAATTTCCTGCTAAATCATAAACCTTGAGAGAACAAGAGGACATAAAGTGCAGGTAGTTCTCACTTAACATGAGTTTGCACAACTCAAAATTCATATTAGCACAAGGAACCAACTAGGGAAAGTTTGCTTAACACAAAAAGTTCCTGGTTTAATAAGAGCTGCAACATGTCACAGCATCATCAGCCTGCCTCTGACTGTCCCCTAGGTTGCACGCATATCACGATGGAGTCTTGATAATTCACGGGTTAGGTACCAGAGACTAAAAAATACCCATAAACTATAGTAGTACTCCAAAACTGCTTTAATAAATGCTATACATCGTACATAATACTGTACAGTAATACCTTGGTTTACGCGGTTCTCGTTTACGCGGTACCTTGCCACAACGGGATGCCAGAATTACGCGGTGAATTTACCCATTTACACGGGTGAAGTATAATTTGTTTATTTACTGAAGATATTTGTTTTAGCTCATAAAATTCATACAAATTACCCGGCCAGAATATAATTTACATCGCTGGAATTCTTATTAGATTGTGATTATTTTGAATATAAACATCATGGAATTTGCATTAGACATACAAATTTTAGATCTAATTTAAGAATTTTGATTACAGAGCAAAAATTTTATCTTTTGTGCAAAATATATGACGCTTATATTCAAAATATTCCTGGTCTTGCAAGGAATCCACCAATGTCAATTATATTATCCTAACTTTAGTCTGAGGTATTATTTATTACTAAAAATGTAAGCCTAATGTTTTCACCCAAACATTTCTCTGGTAGGAAGGGAAGGTGGGGGGGTAGGGAGGGAGGGAGGGACCCAGCAAGCGTGGGAAGAGGGGGGGAGCCGGAGGTGGGGTATTTTGATTGACAGATAGTGTCTGGGTCAAGTATAATTTGTTTATTTACTGAAGATATTTGTTTTAGCTCATAAAAGTCATACAAATTACCTGGCCAGAATATAATTTACATTGCTGGAATTCTTATAAGATTGTGATTATTTTGAATATAAACATCATAAAATTTGCAATAGACATACAAATTTTTAGATCTAATTTAAGAATTTTGATTAAAAAGAGCAAAATTTTTATCTTTTGTGCAAAATATATGACGTTTATATTCAAAATATTCCTCGTCTTGCAAAGAATCCAGCAATGTCAATTACATTATCCTAATTTTAGTCTGAGGTATTATTTATTACTAAAAATGTAAGCCTACTGTTTTCACCCAAGCATTTCTCAGAGAGGGAGGAGCCAGCGAGCGTGGGAAGAGAGGGGGTGGGGGGAGTTGAGTCCATTATTTGAATGGACAGTAACTGGCGGCTACTGTATTTCTCTTAAATATATTGTGTGTGCATACCATCATAAAATTAAGATGTTATTTTTAATACAACGTAGGTATTGTGTCGGAAAAAGTGGAGTTTGGGGGTCGGCCCAGTCTCTATTTCAATTAATCCCATATGTTCTGTTATTTCATTTACGCGTTTCTCATTTTACGCGGGCCTCCACGGGTTCAATTGACCGCATAAATGCAGACTCCACTGTATTATTATTATTACACCCCCCCCCCCAAGCCCCGATGTGGGCCAGTGACCTGTGCCCAGGTGGGCTAATCCCTGTTTAAAAAAAAGAAAAAGAAAAACCACACACACACCAGGCTACTGGGCCAAGCTGTGGAGTGTTATGTTTTTTCAACTCGTATTTTCGGGTAGATATACGTAACTTTCTAAACGTATTTTTACTCCGTTACATGCACACACCATCCTAAATGCACATTGTGAAAAAGATAAAAGAAATAATTGTCCTAAGGGCAAACACGTAAAGGGAGGAGAGCGCAGAGTGTAGCTGGTGGGGAGTGCTGCTAGGGAATCGGCGTCCCAGTTGATCTTCGTTTACTGGTGGAGCAGATAGTGTATGCATGTGGTGAGTGTTGTACTTTCATTTGGCTTTTATTTACCGGTTTGGCAATAAAATTTGTTGTTTTAACTTATTTACTGGTTTTATTTTTATTTATTCCTCACATTTCCTGTTACTGTATATATTATTTTAAGAAAACTATGGCTGAGAGGTGTTATGGTTGTTTTTCAACTTGTATTTTTGGGTAGATATACGTAACTTTCTTCATTTATTTTTACTCAGTTACATGCACACACCATCCTACATACATATTGTGAAAAAAGTACAGTATTACACCACAATTATGGACATCCTTCATGTTGGGTTGGCTAGATGGCTACAAAAGAAATTTTGTAAGTTTGATCTACATATCAACTCAGCTGGCGCTCAAATACCATTCATTCTAGAGACAGTAATTTTTACGAGGAAAAAACTGCCATATGGCAACCCAACTTTAATAACAAAGCATGGAGTTGACTTGAGGGTAGATTCACATTTTTTCTACACTAAGATACATTTTGTTGTCTTGTTTCTCGTTATTTGTGAGAGGATTTTCCCATTATTTATTTATTTGTATATGTTTTGTGTGTGGTGGTTACACACCTACTGTATACAGTACAGGTAAAAGAAAACTTTTCCTAAGGGCAATTACATAAATGTAATACAGTATACGTTTCTTTGCACACGGATAAAAATGCCCCCCCTGCCTCCCCCCCATTTTGAGATCCAAATCCCCGCTAATTTTAAGGGTATGCTGTACCACAATAACTCTTCTGGGGTCGAGTGGGAATTTTTTTCAGGAAATTTATTATCTAACGATGTTTTATTAACCCAGTACCAAATGAACCAAAAATAATATGGTAATTGTAGTGAAATTACATTTTGTTGTATTAATAAGGTCTCACTTTCATTTGATTTATTTATAGTTTTATATTATATTTTCTTTATTTCCAAGTCAAATCAGAGAGCTGAAATGGTATTTAAAAAAGTTTATGGTTTCTTGTATAAATAAACAGTGGCAGCCTAAAACTGAGGCGTGTGCCACTGTGGCATTACCAAATGGAAAACCTGCCAGTTTCAAAACTAACCAGATTAAAAAAAATGGTTTTCAGGTAAATCTGCTTTCCTGGAAGCTGTATCAATAATTAGGAAAATAATGCCTCTTGGCAGTAAATAAAATGTCCTTCCAATACAGTATTATACACACCCATGATCCGCAACAGGAATAACTGTGGGTGTATCTGTGACTGATGGTGCACTAGCCACTGAAATGGAGTCATCATCCATTGCAGGGATTTCTATGGTTTTCCAATCTTCCCCTTCAGCTGCCATTACTGCTATCAAGGTGCCAACTTTCACATCTTTTGTGTCTTCTGGAACCTGGTAATACAGGAAATCACGTTATATATCAATGGCTTATGGAATACACTCTACATAAATCACTTGACAAATAAATTAAAACTAGATTTATCAAAACACATACCTGTAGTACAGAAATAGAATTGTACAGGATTGCATAAAGACTCACTTGGTTGTTAATATTTTCGGTTTGGACTAATTATCAGCATGGTTGTTTGTTTTTTAACTGGCAGACTAGTGTGCCCTTTGACAGACAACATAGCTGACTAGTGCCAAATGTATGAAATTTCGGGGGAATAAAAAAAGGTGCATGCAGTATAAACTACTGAAGAATTCTCAATGCTCAAAATATGAGTTTATTCAAACTTCAATGGATAAGTATGTTCTTCATCATGTCAACAGTCTTATAGGTACATACTACTGTATTCACAATCAGAGGCGACTGAAAAAATGCACATATACTGTACAGTATATTCCATAGTTTCAAAGTCTTTTTCATATTGTTGAAGTTAGTGGACTGAAGGAGGATGGTTATGGTTCAGTAAATCATAAATTATCAATTCTCTAAAGATAATAAATGGAAAATTTAAGTATGAAATCTAATTTTTCAGCCAAGGGGAGGAGACAAATGACCTTGTATACCACCACGGAAGAAATCCCTGACCAGTTTGCTGTGGCCAATGGGCATGACATCCTCCAGCAGGAGGTTAAACAGTTCCTCAGCCAGTTAAGTAATGCTGACAAAATCTTGAATCCCTGGGATATTGGTTTCTTCAAAAGCTAATGAGACTTTAGATCACCAGGTTGAATCCCCATTACATTGCATCTTGTTCCAAATCTCTCATTTATAAATATGAGCAAGTTCTGTGGTCAACACCCAATCCCTGATGGGTTGAGAGACCCTAAATTTTAGCCAATATGTCACCCATGCTTGAGCTACGACTGATGCAGAGTCACCTGTTAGTATTCAGGGAATCATCCTACCTGCTGGGTGTGTTCTGTACTTTTGGTTTAATACATGTACAATATACATTCAATTTTGCCCTAAAACTAACACAACAGTAATAGTGCTAATAATGAGAAAGAATTACAGAAATGTTGGAAATTCTGCAAAAAACTGGACCAAGGACAGTCAATGAACAAAGTGTGTTGCCAGTACAACTTAGAAACCCAAACTATGTAGTATGCCTTAAAGAAACAGAATGAGAAATCATTTTATGCCAATCGCAAGTCAAATCGGCCTCCACGGCTAAAAGGGAAAATCTCAATAATCCTAAAGGCACTAGCCTGGATAGAGTAATATATGTTGAGGTTGTGCAAGGAAGGGAGGACTCCCAAAGACTATCATCCGATTTTAAGTGTCGGACATTATTGAAACGAGTTTAGGACTGATAATATGGGTTGCCTTCAGAGTAACCCAGTAAGAACTCTATCCATAGGTTAGGTAAAAGCACAAGTAAAAAAAATTATCACTCGTGATATTTTACTGATGTAAAAGTGTGAAGTCTGTTCCATTAATGACTGACAAATTTAATCATGTTCTGGTCATTTCAAAACTATAATGTTCTCCATTTGTAAAGATAAAATCTTGCTACATAACTATTCAAATGGTGTGAAGATAGAACTGTCACAGTATCTTTGAGGCAAAATTAACAGAACTACATAGCACATTCCTTGATATTACACAATGAAGATATGCATTAAAAATTTAATTGCATCACATTGCTGCAATTAAAGATATATGATAAAAGGAATTTCCGAATATGCTGTGGTTTATATGTACCAGGGCAATCTGGGCAGTGCAGCAATTAGTCTCAAGAAGCAATTATCAAAATTAATTTTAACAGTAGTACTGTATTATATGTACAGTATTACCCCACTTTACCCGGTTTCACTTAACGCGATTCATCTACTCATATACGCGGGAAGCGGCGCAGGCACGATGAGCACAAGGTCGCCCAGTCATCAAAACATTACCGAGTTCTTCACCCGCCACCCACCACAGCCGGCCCAAGTCAGTGATAGTGATAATTATAGTGAGGATATGGACTTATATGGACTTTGAGGGGTTTGACAAAGAGGCCCTGCAAGCCTCTGTGGTGGATAGTGATACAAGTGATACAATTACAGGTGAGGGCCAATAATCTGCCCTCTGCCTCGGAACCAATATCCCGTGTGCCCAGCCATCTTTTCTACTAATGTAAGTGTTAAAAAACCTAATATTATTGATATTTCTCTTAATTATTAATTGTGTGTGCATACCATCATAAAGTTAAGATAATATTTTTACTACAACATAGTTGTGTGTCGTCAAAAAGTGGAGTTTGGGGGTCGGGCCAGTCTCTATTGGAATTAATCCCATATGTTCTGTTGTTCACTTAACGCGGTTTTCACTTAACGCGGTACCCTGTGGGTTCAATTGACCGTGTAAAGCGGGGTACAACTGTATCATCCCATGCACTTACAAAATACTGTACTATACTGTACAGGTACATTAATCCTATACTCAAGCATGACCTTTTAAGAATGTTTCCATGCATATGAATGAAATCAGGTGATTTAAAAAAAATATATATATATATATATATATATATATATATATATATATATATATATATATATATATATATATATATATATATATATATATATATATATATATATATATATATATATATATATATATATCCCAGGTCATAAAACTTCTAATATACACTGCACCACCCAGATGGCATACCTGGAGCATGGTAATGGTTTCAAAGTTTGGGATCTTGGGGAAAGGATGAGCAAGTTTCACAGTTCTGCTACTGCATTCAAGTGCTTTCTCTCTTTCAACTACTGTAAATGAGTGAGTTAAGTTTATATTTGTAAAAACTGTCACAAAATTTTCATCACTATCTTTTAATTCCTTATTATGGAATGAGTGCACATCAGCATCTTTTAAGACATCCTTTTTTAGTTCACCGTTTTGTGAATTTGAACAAAAATTTTCAAGCTGAATTTGAGTTAACTCCTCAGTAAGGTCTATAGGTTGTGGATCAACATGTACTGCTGCCTCTAAAGGCATAGTCAAGGTTGGCTTCCTCATTTCTTGATACTTATACTCATGTAGAGAATTACTTTCCAGAGGGATAACAGATGGACCATCATCTACTAATGGCTCTATTTCTGCAAAATTCTTCAGGTTTTCGCTCTCAACATGGAGTAATTCACATTTGTGAACAAATGACTTAGGAGTTGAGAAGTTGAGCATAACAATATTTTCTGGTTCATCCTCAGGTTCTAATTTTGATTGGTGGTGGACAAATTCCGATTCCTCGGCCAACTCTTCCAATGATTGAAGGTTTGCAAGAACCACCTCAGGTGAGTCTACCACTTTAGTCAGAACATATAACTGCTCTATGACATGGTCACTATCTGCCTGGTTGATATTTTCTTTCACCATTTTTTACCTTCAACTTCAGTGGATGAAACTGCAACTTTCCCACCAGCTTCTATTGGCAAACCCGGCAAATCCTCCCATCTTTTAACTACCACATTAGCAACATTATCATCAACCTCTTTCCTATGATCATGATTATCAAAAGAATCTTTTTCACACATTGATTTATTAGCAGCTTTGTCTTTGGAAGCTAATGTATGCAATTCTATTTGTAACTTTGGTTTTGTCACAGTGGATTCTTCGAATTCTCCATTTCCCTGAACTTTAAGTAGGTTTAATTTATAATGCTCCATTTTACTTTGACTGATATTGGTTCTCTTGCAATGGAGTGTCTACCTTACTGTTTAGTACAGACATCTCAGTAAATAAAGACTCGGAGCGATTTGCAGCTTCATCTTTTCTGTCCTTCCCTCGCCTTATTTGTTTTCTGTGTTGAACATCTACCTCACTTTCCCAGATCTCTTTCAAGTGTGCACCTTTAAGTAATGGCTTTTCATTATCTTTTTTCTGGAGGAGTATGTTATCTGTCACATCTGATTGATGATTAGCTGCCAACTCACAGTGTGCTTCAAAAAGGTTGTTCATAAATGATCCACTCTCATCATCTTCACCAAAACCCAAAAATCCAGCTGAAAAAGAAATGATTTGTTAATATTCCAACTTTAAGGTTCCACTAAAAGAAGAACAATCTGCAAATCTGCATCAAATCTGTAGAGAAAGAAATGGTATTAAAAAAAATACAAACCCTAAATTTTATGAAGATGTACTAGTATACTAAACTGTACACATACCAAAATTTTGGCTAGGGTGCCTTCATCCTCAGTATCCATGGAAACAACAGCTTTATCAGTTTGAATGTCACATAAAACATCTCCTGGTTGAATAGGATCACCTTCTTTCTTCAGCCATTTGATTATGGTTCCCTCCATCATGGTAGGGGAAAGTGAAGGCATTTTAATGGGCAATCCCTGTGCTGTGGAGGAAATAAGAAGGAAAAAAATGCAATTAAAATGCATCAAAAGCACTAAGAAAATAACTGTATGCATCCAAAACAGTTTGTTACTTTCCCCTTCTAGCTGTGCTTGGGTTATAATTTCCAATAGTGATGAAGTAAAAATCTATTGAAGAGTACCGTATACATTTTTTAGCAAATCTTGAATAATTTTAATTTATCTGGGGTACAGTCGCCCACAGTTCCACCTGTTACATTTATTTGTGGGTTTTATGAGATGTGGCAGTTGTGTTTGTTTACATCAGAGTAAAACTCCCAGAATGGCCAGACTAAGGATGCTAAATAAGCATTTCACCTATCTCTCTGAATGCCAGCTTTTCTTGCATGGTTATACAATAGTTTTAATACAGGTTACAAAATAGAATGTCATTGGCTCCTATCTGCCTGACAGTAGCGATTGTGCGAGGTCTTTGACATGAGAGGGAGAGGTAAGCAGTTCTCCTTGCTGGGTAGGGGAGAGGTGCACTGACATATTGTCATGTTTAGTAATATGTCCTCATTCTCTGAATGCTGATATTTTATACAGTACAATATGTGGCTTTAGGTAATGTTGGAATAAACCAATGAAATGTTATTGGATCCAGTCTTCTTTATTATGTGGACAACATTCATACTCTCCATGTAATTTTTTTTTTAGCAAACTTGGGTATAATGAAGTGTAGCTAAATTTCAAATGTTATTTCTACACATGCCTCCAAGGTGATCTGATATCTGACACTGCTGCCAACTGGGGCAAGGTGTTCCAGTTTGGCCACCATACCCTCCTCGTTTGTTATGATGAGGTCTAGTGGCTTGGGTGTTGCTCCCTGTAATGTGTCGGGTCTCTAACATGTTGGAACAGAAAATTATCTCTCAGAGTTTCTACAAAAAGAGTAGCAGAGTTATTCATGTCATTTAGGGTGAACTTGTTTCTCCAGTCGATGTCGCCATAGTTAAAGTCCCCCATGATAAGGAGGAGGCTAGGGTTGAGCATTGCTGCATTGTCTATTAAGTGGGCCACAGTTTGGGGATCTGTACACCCGACGATAAGCAAGTCCCCTCCCTTTAATTTAATTTTACACCACTTGGACTCTTCAAAAACATCCTCTCCCTGTACCCTTGCCTGGCTGGCTCTAAGGTCTTGCCTAGCATAGATAACCACACCCCTCTTGCAAGTTTCTTGAGAAAGGTATCTAAATGAGTCATATCCAGCAATATTGAACTCGCATTCCTCTGGGTCGATTCTCCTGTTCTGGTACAACAGTTCTACAACTCCTACAATATCTGGTTGGTGTACCTTCAGTAGTGTTTCAAACTCCTGTCTTATCAAGGAACGGTCAGTATTAGTGTACATGACATTCAAGCCAGAATTTGTTCTCGGTAACGTCTCTGCTCTTAGTAGTACTCCCCCCCCCCACATTCTCAAAAGCTGCAGCATTTGCAAAGTACACTGTATTTTGCAGGGTGTGGTTAGAAATGTCATTGTTTACACGGCGCTCGAGAATAGATATTACATCGCATACAGACGACTCAAGAAGTATTGTGTTGTTATTCTATACATGCTATTAATTATTTAATAAAGAAAATAATTAAAACATGGGTAAAGAAACAAAATACAGAACAAATTAAGAATTATTGTGTTATTACTATATGTACATGAATATTAATTAATTCATAAAGAAAACGATTCAACATTGGTAAATAAACAAAATACAGAACAAATGAAGGTGATTTGGCACCAGTGCATAACCCACCGAGCAGTGAGATGAGTGCAGGCATATTAACAATGTTTTTATTATTTATTGCTTTAATAAATTGTCGTAGTGTTTTTTTTATTATTTTATATCCCAAGCAACAGTAATTTTCGTGTATATAATGATGGGAATAAACGGGTGACTAAAGGGGTTAAAAATAGTGGTGAAGAAGCGGGTTGTTGACGATATGGGTAGACCCCTTTCAAAACACTCAGCCGCCAGAGGCCAGATCGACCCAAGTTCAGTACTTGTAGTTCGCACGGGTGGCTGCTCATGTCCACAAAAATTAAAAAATTACACCATATCATAGTCAGTTCTTTTTGTTTAATATACTTGGGGGTCCAGAGGGCAGAGACCCCCCAGTTAGGAAGTTAGGTAAGTTTGTTTGGTTAGGTTAGTGAGGTCTTTTAACAAAGCTTCTGCTGCTATTTTTTCTTAACTAAGGTTAGTTAATTTAGAAATAACCACCTTTTAATACATTTTCACAAACTATGACAGTGTCCACTATAAAATACAGTGAAATTGCAGCACTTTTATAATCTTCTGCGGGTCAGTCGTCAATAATTACCCACTTGGTATCTTGATTTCTGTAGCAAATCGCACGGTCAAATTTGTTCATAACACATCAAAATCTATCAGAAAAACATAGTTTCAACTTCGATTGCAACAAGTGAAAATTTACCTTCAAATGTTTGTTTGGTTAACTTCTTAGTATTTTTCCCAACATTTTCCCTCTTCAAAGCCCGGTGAATTTTCTTGTAAGTTTTGTAATAAATATTGTCTAATGACAGGGTTTTAAAAATTAAATAATGACAGGATTTGTAAAAAATTAAATACAGGATTTTAAAAAATGTAAGGTAAATGTTTACAAAACTGTTATCATTAGTAGTTGTTTGTTGATTTTCTTTATTTTTGCTACACTTATTGTTT